TTAATCTTTCCAACAAAATCATTAAGTTTTTAAAAATTATTTCGTAAATATTTAAATTTTTTTATAAGACGTATTAAAAGGATGAATTAAGTTAGTTATATTTGAAATTAGTACGGGTTGATATAACACTTGTAAAAATTTTTGTCCGTGTGCAGGGGATTCGTCGTTATCTGAAGACCTGTGGTTCGCAGTGAACACGCGTCTTGTAACTCAATCTGCTGGATTGCCAGTGGGGGAAATGGGGGAAACTGGAGGGGCAAGGCATCTGGCTTTGTTTTGTTCAGGGCGACAGCATTTATGACTAAGTATTTTATAATGAAGTGGCAAATGTGTAGCTGCAGAGTTGTCCGGCTAAATAATTGTTAGCATTACGCTGCAGATTGCTTGCATTTTTTCGCCTGAGCAGGGGCAATATGGATGGCCAGACATACAGAGGAATTTATATACAACACGTATCTATGGCGAAAAACTATATTATTTTTTGTACCACCCAGAGGGGATTTTATGACAGCTTTATAAAGATAAGTTTCTGGGCAGGGCGCACAAGAACTAAGTAATTAAAGGATTGCAAAATAAATAAATAAACCGCTTGAAGAGTCGACAAAATTAAAGCTTTCACTAATAAAAATCATTGCTTTCAAAATTAACATGTGAAAATAACCAAATAAATGTATATAATTTGAGCAATTTAGTTACAAGGTTTTATCTCAAATATAAATTGATATTTCTAGAAAGATTTATCTTAATAATCACGAATTAAGCTAATTAAATATACATAAATTATTCATTTTTTCCGTCTTATTTGCTCATTAAATTATACTGCATGTATTCCCATAATAAAGTTGTCTATATAATGGAGCTCTACCCAGAATCGGTTCTCTAACTCCCGGGTCTCGGGCTCATTGACCCATCAAACGTTATCTTTACGCCACGCCACATATTTCTGTCAAATTAATGGGCAAACTGTGCACATTTTGCTGCATAATAAACCCATGGCGGGTATTTTATTTCGAATGTTTGCTCATTGGCGAGTCCAGTCACATATCATCCATATCCTGAACGGCGACTTCCTCGGCGATCGTGTGCCTATATGTTTATACTTATATATAGACGGTCGGTTCAAACAACACGTGTTCGAATGGCGAATGCACTCACATGAACACAGGCACACGAAGACAAACAGACGGAGTGAGTGAATTTTACAAGTTATTTTATGCAAGCCATAAATATGCACTTTACACTTTGCACATTTCCCCCGCAACTCCGCTAATTCCCCGTTTGTCTTTCACTGGGCGGGCAAAAACAAACCGCAAATGCCTTGGCCAGATGCTCTTAGTTAGACCAACACAAATACTATATCCAGCCATTCAGACATTCAGACACATGGCAGACGCCATGGTCTTCGGTCTACGGACCACGGTCTCCGGACTCCAAAGTTAAAGTCCATGAGTGGCGGCCCCCAGAGCCTGCATACAAATTATGTACAAACATGTTTTCAGAAATGTTCAATTCATTATCGCTAACAAATGCCGATCATGTTGTGTTCAACACAGTTCAAAGCACTTTTCTGCAAATTATTGCACAGATCTGCCGCTGGATTGATGGCCCGTTTCAAATGCAACTCGGAAGCACAGCCACTCACTTTACGGGCTCTTTTTTCCCCGACTCTCTACTCTTGGCGCTGCTCTCCTAATCGTAATTGCTGTTCGGCTAAGTGATATGCCGTGTCCAGAGATTCTCAATTACACGGCAAGAAATGTTCTGAATTAATGACGAAATCAATAGATGCTACTAAGAAAGGTTGTAAAATTTATTCAAGAATATTTATAATACAAATTTCAAAGAAAGAAAGACTGTTAGTTGTTTTTATCGAGAGTAAACATATCATGATTATTAACACCTTATTGTTAAATGTTTTATTAAGGCCCAATTAATATTTATTTAATGCTCAATGGTTTTATATCTTTCTTTTAGTCAATGGTTTTTTAACTACTTGATATTGATCTGGAAAAATTATTTTTCGTTTTGAAATTTTTTTTCAAATATATCCGTTTTTAAGGATTTTTAGTTTATTTAATTATATTTAAATCAAGAAAACAAATAAATATATTTTTGGAGCTTAGACCTTTGAAAACTCTTATTTCCGCCCCGAAAAATCAGAGTAGTTTTCTCAGAATATTTAACAGCCATTTATTTATTTATATTATATTTATATTTATTTTCAGCCATTTGATTTAAATAATATGAGAAAAAAAACATTCGTTTTTTTGCCCGCAGATTTCGAGTTTAGCTGGAATCTGTTTAGCAGACTGTACGGCTTTACCCCATCGCTCCCTTTGCTCGAGAACACTTAATACACAATTTCCGCTAGCGGATCGGCAACAGGGGGAAAAACTAAATAAAACCAACTCAAACCAAATAAAACAAAACAAAGCCCTATAAAGTACTTGCTCCTCGGCTGTGCCACTCTGTAGATGAGAACGCTGTTGCGTCTGCGCACAAAGGCGATTTAAATTACAGAACGTGCCCGGCTGCAAAGGGAATAAAATCGAGAATAAAAATGCCAACTCGACGCAACTTCCATTCAGTTTTCGAGGCGGCACAGCACACAAATTAAATAGCAATTAACATGCAGAGGCAGCGGCAGCTGCAACTGCAACTGCGAATCGAGTTGCCACAGGTCAACCAGATGCCCGCAAGTTTACGACTCCAAATCAGCGGCAAATGTGAGCGTAGCTGATTGATTCAAATAAGTTTATGTGGCTGGGCCTAAGTGGGTCACGCCGAGCACTTTACAGCCTTTTTTAGTAATTTTCAGCTGCCTCCCACGGCCGGAGGCACCACATGCTCCACAGTGCGTATGCGTTACGAAAATGATTATAAATTACACTGCGAACGGAGCTGGGGAACTGATAAGTGGACCCAGAACCTCTGACAATTCGATTTAGAAGGGGCACATAGCTGGCACAGCCCACTCTTGCCACCACTTTGTCATTGAAATGGTTTGAAAAAAACGTAAAAACGACTTAAGCCAAACGATTCAAGAACAAGTCCAAAAGGCGTAGGCTGACCCGAAGTACGCTTCCGTGGTTTGTCTTTTATTTTTCATTTTTTCCCCTGGCCTTTTGTCTCTGACCGTGTGTAATAAGTATGCAAATTGCGAATGCGAGTGGAAAACAATTGATTTTTAATGAATACTGAGGTCAGGGTCGGAAACAAACACTACACTATAACACAGCACGGCACATGAACCACTCGACAATTATTGGCCATAAATGATAATGAACTTCAGGCGGGCCGCTAGCTAATAAAATGTGAAACCAGAAATTACCTCAAACTATTTGGCGAGGAAATCCTCTGATTTACGCTGATGTGACGGCTATAAAGCGTTAACTTCTAGGCGGAGAGATATATGTGGCACTTGTGTATGCGAAGCTGATTCGCACTTTTACGATTATTTCTTGCAGATTGTAAAAAGATCACACATTAAGGCACTTTTATAACGTATTTGCAGGCACTATTCGGGCATCACTCTGTCGCGATTTCGATTTATTTGCATGTTAATTCAGCGATACTTTGCACATTTCTTTCGGCACACTCTCCAGACTCCAAAATGCGAAGCTGCGAAACTACGAATTTATTTACTCGGTTGCACTTGGTCACTTATGTTCACTACTCTATTTATTCGTCTTCGAGTCGCTTTTTTTGGTGGGGTAGATTTCTGCCGCTCACAAGACTGCGCGTCGCGAGTTAATTAATCCAACTGAATCGGAAAACCGCACAACCGCCTTCGTCGAACGCAAAAATGAAAATAAAACTGACTCCAGAAATCCGAAGCACAGACCCGTTTACAGAGCTTCGGCGTGCAACCGCTAGGCAGCTGCTGGTGCGCTGTTCGGTGTCTCGTGCTTCGTCGTATCCATTGGATACCATTGGATCCCATTCGGGGGAAGCACAGACCCGTTTACAGAGTTTTACCATGCAACCGCTGTTAGTTTATACCATTTTTAACAGCGACTGTTAGCCGCCAGGGCTGCACAAGAGCATCTGTAAAGATACATCGGTAGCGGGACTTGAATCTCACTATTCTTCCAATATAAATAAGAAATTAAATCATTCTTAGGAGATGGTGTGAAAAAACTGCTGTTCTTATCGGCAATGAAGTACACTTCTTCTTGTTGTCCAGTTGCAATATTAATCAAATTTTACATCTTTTAAAATTCTAATTAAATTGTAAGCTTTGTAAAAAAATTATTATCTTAAAGTAAATATTTGTCTCTGAATCGCGAGATACTCTTTGCTCAATAAGAGGACATTAATTATTGCGAAATGAGATTCTCTGTTGACTTTGACTTGTTGATAATGGAAAACCACTGGCGAGTTGTGGGTGATATAATCTTGAAAGATTAATTGCACGGGCGAGGAATGTGAGCCCATTGAAGTTCAATATTATGTTGTTGGATTGTATTATCACTATAATTAATTACAATTAAATAGGGCAAGTCGTTGTAGCTTCAGTTGTGGTTAAACTGCGGTAACTCAAAATATTTTTATCTATGGGTTGGATTCAGAATCAGACTAATTGAAAGACAATAAATATCCAAATGGAGCAACTTTATCGTTGCAGTTGTGATTGTTCTAATTTAAGTATTTACTGAGAGTCCCATTAGCATTACCCTTAAGCGAAATGGTAAGCCACGAACAGCTCCACCCCAGTGATTTTCTCAACTATTTGCTCCAGAGAGCACTTATCGCCTGATGATCGCCTCCCGATGATTCCCCCAATTTCCGCAGCGATTTCTCGACGCAGTTACCCAACAATTTCTCGCTGGCGGACAGACCAAAGCAAACTATTTAGCTGCGATTAAAGAACTTCATTCGGGGAGAGTCGAACAAATTGCGGCTAATTTCGCCTGCTGCGACTAACTGCCTTGTAAATGATATATCTTTCGCTCGGGTTTCCTTTTTCTGGATTCTTTATAGGACATATGCGCACGTACCTCGCCAGTTTGATGGGCCGTGCGGAGAGCCGCGGCAATTTGAGCAAATTTGCATAGGAATCGCTGCTCGAAGCGGGCCAAACTGCCGTCGAATCCGCACACGAGTCGCTCACGTGCCTGCTGGATTAAAATCGCACGCGTGCGTGCCCAGTAGACGGGATAAATGTGCGACAGATGGCTGTCAATCAGCCGGGCCAGCGTGGCGTCCACGTCGGCAGGAAGTCGCGTTGGCATCGGTATCGGGATTCCTCCGGGGTTACTCTGCGGAGGAGAAGTTGAGGAGGTTCCGTCAGTTCAGGACAACAGGGAAAGAAAAAACCCTTACAAGATTAAAAAAAAATATCTTCTGGAATGGTTTTTAAAGATTTAGTAAATATACCCTAAAGTTATAAACTAAAATTAAAAAAGAATTGGAACAAATCTATAAATTAGTTCTATGAACCTATATTGTATTTATTTTAAATTTAGATCAAGAGTCCTTAAAGAAGAATTCACAGTTAAAAAACTTACTTTAAAAGGCAATATAATTTGTGAGTCCTTCCAAAAATATTTTGTTGTAAATAAATAAGCATCAACGCAGCTCAGAATAATTAACAAATTTTTAAATACTATTTCAATAATTTTACTCAGTTGTGTTCTCGAATGAATTTTAAATACTAACTAAAAAAGTTTTAGTGAAAGGCAAAAAAATAAAATTAAAATACCTGCTTTATCTGCTTGTAGTATTTTCGTAACCCTCTAATAGTTGACACTCTCATATTTTATTTCCCAGTGTAATTACGTACCTCTATCTCCAGTGGGACTTCCTCCTTCGGCGGCTCCAGCTCGTCGACCGCCTGCTGTTGTTCCTCGGCAATGCTGGCACTCAGACTGCAGTCGATGGGCAGGGCATCCGTATAGGACCCGGTGCTGCCCTCCGCCAGATCCTCCTCCTGCTCCTCCTCGGACTCCCTCTCCTCGAGTGTCGTGGGTGCTGGCTCATTCCTGATCAGGGTGATGGTGGTCGCGTTGGTGGAACTGCTAGTTGGCATCTTGGGCTGACCCGTTAGCCGCTGTTTGCACTTCTTGAGGTACTTTTGAACCCGCGACTTGCTGCGGTTCAAAGTTGCTGATGCCGCCGAGGTGGAGGAGGAGGCAGAGCTTGTTCCCGGGTATCGACAGCACACATAATTAGCATTCGCGGACAGCTGCTCCACCTCTGGAGGTTCCTCCTCCGGGTCCTCCGCCTCCTGATCCTCGTCGTCGCGAGCTATGGGCGCTGCTCTGGCCCCTTTCATGTCCCTGTCAGTGGCCGCGAACGGGGACTCTGGGCTCTCTATGCTCGGGATCTGCCCTCCTGGACTTCCCCCACCAGGAACATCGATTTGCGTGTCACTCGCCACCAAGATCTCGGCTAATTCCGCTCCTGCTCCTGAACCAGAACCAGAAACAGCTGCTTCTGCTCGCCCTGCCTCGATGTTCGTGTCAGCCTGGAAATGCAGAGAAAACAGAAAGAAAAGACCTCAGACACGTGTGGAGTTCAGAGTGCGCTTGTGTATCCGCCAGATACACAATTGCCGCATTTCAAATGGGCCAAAGTTCTTTGCACAGGCAATGGCCAATGCAAAGAGCCGCATTAAACACAATTCGTTCGGTTGCCACCGGCAACGGGGGCTTACAGTGGGGCAAATCAGTAAGACCAATGCCAATTCTAGAATTTCTTAAGATTTAGGTATTTTTAAATGAAATCAAAGCCAAACCAAGGGCTCTGAAGAGAGTGCAACAATTATTCTTACTGAAAAACGTTAACCAGATCTTGTTTATAAAGTGTTGATTTTAATTGTTTGTCTAATTTAGTTTGGTTATTGTGTATTTAAATTTTAATTTGCTGAATAAAATAAAGAAAAAAAAAAATAAATTCCTTAAAAACCTAGAAATGATTTAAAACCAATAGATAATGAAATTTTAAATAAGATAAAATTGATTGAATTTTTTAGATAGCAAAATTAGGAAAACAAGTTGAACTTATAGAAACAAAGATTTTTATTAAAATAAATAATTTCTAGATCTGAATATTTACTCAGTGTCTACAGCGAAATGGTATTTCCTATAATTAATTGAATAAATAGCTCAATACGTTTAAATATACACTTCTCAGGAACTAAGCTCCTTAAAATACTGAAATATTAGAATATATACTATATTTAGTGCCAAAGATGTCAAAGCTAGTTCCAAGTTTCGATCCATTTTCCCATACCATATCGTACAATGTGCTCAGTGGGACGAGGGGAAGGCGGCCCGGTTCGCCTTGTTGCATGTTAAAAGTTAAACAGAAATCAATTGGGGACAGCATTGATCCGAGAGACAAGACTAGGGAAAGGGAGTGCGAGGGGCCCCATTGCATGACAATCAAATGAAACGTCAAACGTTCGTTTCCAGTTAGTTTTAGTAGTTAGTGGCGATGTTGTTGTTGCTGCTGCCTCAGTTGTCGTTGTCATAGGTCAAGTGTAGCACAGTAGAATTCACTTTCTTTCAGACACAAGCACACACAAAAATTTACAGTGAAAGTGGATGTGGTTTTTGGTTTTTCGTTATTTCGTTATTTCGTTTTCGGTTCGGGGATGCGGATGGGATGGGGCTGGGGATGCGGCCTAGCAAATAGCCAAACTTTAAACATAACACACATAACAAAAGCCTGGCATGTTAGGTTTTTCTGTTTGCGAACCGAAATACTTTTGGCCGCGGCCAACAATGTGACATTGTGCGATGCCGGCGCTTTTCCATTTATTTTCCCATTATCCACTCACTCGCCTTTCCACGCCCAAACGAATTTAGCAACTAACTGGGCCCAGGAATGTGGCTAGCTCTGCAAGTCCTGCCTGGCCTGCAGCTTTTGGTCCTTCGTGGCTGAGTCCAGAGCGCCAGCGTTGGCCGCCAGATGTCGCCCTCGGCGCCTGCGCATGCGCAATGAATGCGCATTGCCCAGACCCCGACTCGAACTCGGACCCCCAACCCCCCAGTTATTGGCAGTACGGTCCCACAGACACAGATTTCTGTTGTCGAAGCTTATAAATTTCCACAATTTGTTCAGGCCGGGCTTTTTGAAGTGCGGCCGAAGCGACGCCAATAAATACCAATAAATATATCATCAATATTTTCTTTTTGGGCCAGGCACTGAGAGAAAAAGTGTAAAGTTATAAGGCTAGAAAATAAGGTTTACACATACAGGTTAAAAAAAGTATCCCTTCAAGTTGTTAAAATAATTTAAATGCCACAATAAAAAAAAACAAAACAATATAAATTACTTTTGGAAATAAATAAATAAAAAAAATAATAAAAAGATAGTTCATTAAAAAAAATATTCTTTCAAAACATGATAAAATTTATTTGAAACAATAAAACAAGTAAGCAAACCTATATACATAAATGGTTTTTGGAATTTAATAAATAAATTAATTTTTTGTAATAGAACAAGGTAAATAATTAAAATATTTTAACTAATATAACATTTAACAATAACTCATAGCCCAGCTATATATTTTACAACTACCATTTGTGAGCTTATAGATTGTAATCTTAAGTAAAAAAACATCTTATTTAATTTCATAAAATTGTCGTCCCTTTTTTCTTTCAGTGCATGATTCTGGCTCTGCATTCCGGCCATTGGCCACCGCTTAAAGATCAGTGCCCAGTGGCCATGGCAGTGGCACGCACGATCAGAAAAAAGGCAGAATCAGAGGCAAATGCAATTTGCTGTCATGCCAACTCTTGACCAAGTGCCGGGCACTGCTCATCAATTAATTGCCCCGGCTGGTCTGGTTTGGTTTGCTTTTGGTTTCGGTTTGGAATGGGTTCGGCCCGCCCGGGGGCGTTTTGTCGGTGAATATCGGTGGGTATCGGTGGGTTTCGGTGGGTCTCGGCGGCGGTGCGTGAGTCTTGGGCAGTGGGTCGGTGTCGACCGGCTAGCCCGCTGTTCAAATTATGGCCGCGCGTCAAAAGGAAATCGAAAATGTTGCACTAGTTGGCTGGACAAGCCATTAAAGGAAGGTCGCCCCACTGCACCGACAGCACAACCTTGGGGCTATGCCGTGTATCTAAAATATACCGATCTCCGATCCGATCCAGCACTCTCTCACGCATCTGCGGTTTCACCTAACGCCGCTGTGACCCAAATCGGAATCGGGCATCCACCATCCACTCCCCTTTGATTTAGTGGACTCGGACAAGATTGGAAATTAATTTTTATGCATCTCTTGTCACATTTGTGTTAATCAAAACATTATGACTGCGTTTTCTGCGTTTTATTTTGTTATTAATTGGACAACCTACTCCGGCAATCTAAACACCTGCGGAGGAGCCGCAGCCTAAGAGCCAGAAAGCCAAAAAGCCAAAAAGCCAAAAAGCTGGAACTGTCATTGCCATTGCCATTTGGACGTACTGCCTCTGACTCTGCCTCTGCCCACAAAACAAATTAAATTTATTGCGTGTGATTTTGATAGCGCAGAGATACACAGAAATATTGCGTCAGTAACTAATTTGTTAGCTGACTGGCTGCTCGTTGGAGATTGTAACGAGGCGCCTTTGGTAATATACAAATCACAGAAAAATAGGTGTGCAATAATTCAACATTAAATTAAAATTTAATTTAATTGTAATGGGTTAATAATTTAAAAATCATTTTATAGTTATCTCCAATTCCAAGCATTAAATATATATTTTCAATTTTTTGTAATATTTGAAAAATTAAAAATTTGAATCATACAAACTTAAAGCCTAAAATTAATATTTTGATATTAATAGCAGATAACCGAACAAAAATTTTATTTGTAATGTAGGCACTTACAAAGATTGTGTTGGAGGTGAAAATTGCCACTTTGGTGGCGAAGAGAGAGTGTGCGTGTGTATCTATGTAAAAATGCGTGGGCTGCAACTGCCACTGCTCCCAAATTAAAGTGACAGCGCCAAGAAATTGAAAATGACTGTGAATGCGTGTCGTTAATGGGCTGTCCTAACCCCAGAGACTAAGGTTAAAGAAAGAGAAACTGAAAGCTGGACAGGAAAACAGGTAAACAGCGGGGTGGTCAATAAGAAAATTCATTTGCATAGGAGGCTGACTGAAAAATAGCAAACATAAAAGTAATAATCGTATTTGATGGCAGGGTTTTGAGGCTGATGACGGGATTCCTTTTCGAGCGTTTTTTTAAAAGCTGTTTGATGGAATATATGACTCATAAATGACCATCTATAATGAACATGTCATAAAGTGTATTTGCGACAGCTTTTAAAAGACTCCGCTATTGTTTTTCTTTTATATTAAACTAATTAATCATTAGTTTTAAGGTTTAATATTTTTAAAAGAAATAAAATAAAATATATTTTTTGATTACCACCATCTGAGCTGTCATAACTTTAAAATGCTAGCCAAATTGTTACTTAACAGTCCCGCATTTAAAAGCGACCCAAGACGAGCCTAGCCATTGCACTTCCTTCCACTTATAGGTCAGATCGGCTTATTCGATTACAAAACCCATTTCCTATATCAAATTTGCATCTCGTGCGTTGAATAACAGCCCCTGCCAATTGTAGGAGGTTTATGAAAGGTTCAATGTTTCGGCCTCCTCGCAGACATGGCAAATGCGTTGCAGTTTTGAGCTTTTAGTTTTCGGTTTTCAGTTTTGAGTTGCATTTCACAGTCGAAGACGAAGACGAACTCAAAGTCGCGAGCTGGAAAAATTCCCACGTCGTGCGTGAGTGCGCGGGAAAATATTAAACAGATTTTCATGTCTCTGTTGCCGTCTCTTTCCGAGGAAAACATAGGGAAAATCGCGCTCAACCGCATTTAACAGCTTTGGAGATTCGATTTGAAAGCCGTTCGTCGTCGGCGATTTTTTGCTGCCATCGCATGTCGCGTCGTTTTTGCATGATTTCTAGTTAAAATGCAAAACTCAGGCTGCGATAAATAAATATGCATGGCTCGGATGCAGCGAACAATGTGGAAAACGGCAACCGAAAACCAAAACTAAACTTGGGACTGAAACTGACGAGCGGCGGATGCACAGCCCCCATCTATCCCATTCCATTCCATGCGATTCGATTCGATTCGATTCGATCCCATCCAGCTTTTTGGAATTGGCCAGCCAACCAAGTTAACTTAACAGCGGCAAAATCACCAAACAGGCGGCGCAATTAGCCACCGCTGCCTGCTAGTTGCATTTTTTATTTGCTTTTTTGGTTTATTGGCCATTGAATGCACTGCTCCTCGGCCGACAGTCCACCTGTCCATCTGTCCGGCCAACAAATGAGCCACTGATAAATATTATTAGCGCACGGCCAGTCGCAGTTGCAGTTGCACCGCCGAAACCGCCGAAAACCAAGTGCAAGACCAGGACCTGAACCCAGAGCACACTGGAAAAAAAGCTTAGAAAGATTACAGAACTTTTTTATCAAAAAGAATCTTCAAAAATTAATTAACTAATATGTTCCAGCCTTT